TGCACAGCGTTTTAATGCCGACACATTTTAATAACGCATTCAGTAACTCACAAACGGATGCTTATATTTGTTTTCCGTAGTAGCAAGTCCATAGACAAATGTACTGAAATTCCAGTACACTTGACTTAACTCTCATATGAATTAGTTATTTTCCAATTTGACATATTCATTATGTAAAATTAATACACAGAAGAATCAGTGCCAAAACTGATGCCCCCCTGCCCCTTACATGCACACTGGCGTTTTTTTAGTCATGTCCGACATTACACTTAATTTTTTTTCAATTCAACCTTGACAGCGTTACGAACTCATCAGATAAAAGAAGAGTATAACCAGAAACAGACGTTTTATTATATCAACGGAAGCGGCCGATTCAGGATATTTCTAATGGCAGCGGAAGACGGTTTGAAGATTAACGTCAAATTCAATGGAAAACTATTTGTTGTCTCGCACCTTTCGAGTGAGATGACTGTATTGGACGTGAAGAAAAAGCTCTACGAACTAACGAGAGTTCCTCCTGAGAATCAAAAGTTGCTAGGTCTATCAGCTGTTTCAGGTTGGTCCGTTTAGATGCTTATTATTTTGCAAAAGCAAAGGTTGTTTCAGATGATTTGGCTATTCAATACTTGAACATCAAGCCATCAACAAAGATTATGCTAATAGGTTCCACCGAAGAAGCCATAGTAACTTGTCTATTTATTGACGCTCCTTTCTCTAGACTATCGTAAAGGCTGCCGACTCTGTTGTGCCGGATAGTATTGACGATTTTGACTTAACTGAGGAAGATTTGGAAACATTTCAAAGGTAAAAATATTGTCGCATAATCAGAATCAAGACCCGAAAATCTGGAAAAGGTCCAAAAGAGGTCAGGTACATACAAGTTCATCCAAATTTCCGAAATGAGACCCGGGAAGCGTCTTCTTGTTCTGGACATTGACTATACTATTTTCGGTAAAAACACCAGCTACTTGGTTCCTTCCTAAATTTACCCTTTTAGAAGTAACTTTGATTGTCCAAAATCTTTGCATATATATCGTTGGTAGTTTGTTGCCTGCTCGTGAACTTTGCCACCCATACGGAGGTTGTTTGTTTTGGGTAGCCGATATATTGGTTTGCGCCTATTCCTGCTCGAATAAATACGTGATCTGCAGCGGCAGAGATTTACAGATAAAGGAGCACAGGTTAACTTCAGTTCGATGATGTGTCTATGGCCCATCTGCTAGACTCTGTGAACTATATGCACCGTATTCGAGCGCATGCTTGTGCTTCCAGTCCCAGTTGGTAGTCGGGTTTATGATTAACTGAAGGCAGATTAAGCAAGAAACAGACTGTATCAACCTATGCAAACTTTCTGTCGTACTTTCTCTTTGCAATTATAACTTGGCCAGCTGTGGCGTGTTAGTTGATTGCCTATTCGTGCCCTTCGCCACGTATGCGGGGCTTGTTTGCTCCGCGAAGCCGATAGATCGGTGTGCGTCTAACCCAATAAGAAGTCCACATCGAGTTCACGGCGCGATAGGTATACCCGATTACTAGTGGATTTTGCTCACAATGTCGCTATGACGACGATATCGAAAAGCCGCGACCCGGCGTCATACCTCGATAGGGGTAGAAGAGGCGTTCGTTTGTATCATGGTCGCGAGTGTGCGTGCTCTACACGCATCCCTCAACCCACCATAACAGCAATCTTTTCCAGTAACATTAACTTAAAGGCCGGTATATTGTAATATGACGCTTTTATGTTTTATTTCAATAAAACTAGGTGTAAAAAACTTAATGGGCTGGTTTCCATGAAGATTTGGCCATTGCTTTATCTTGCAGCAGCAGAAACCTCGGCGAAACACCGGGCTTTTAGCTCGTATCAATGCGGAAGTACAGTAAAACATCATTACCATATAGAATTCACGCTACCCGTAGTGCTACTCGTTTGTAGAATGGACATTTTCCTGGTTGTCCCATGGTAGTTGATTGTCTTCGACTAAAATGTTCGTCGAAATCTAGGGTCTGGCCCTTAAAAGTCATGCCCCGTCTACCTACTTCAATGTCATGCACCCAATAATATCCGCGATTATTTCCTTGATATCTATATTCCTGTTTTAATGCATATCTATATAATGTCTCAGTGTAAAATTAGTTTGCGATTTGCAAGTTTTATTTTTTCTTAACGTCGTTTGGAAAACAAACTTCTCCCTGTGCCTTCATGCAGATCACCTTACACCAGCGGAGTCGGCAAAACTGCTTATGCGTCCCTATCTTTACGAGATGCTTACCAGAGCGTACGTTAACTACGATATTGCGATTTGGTCCGCAACAAGCATGACGTGGATATTGGCGAAAATAGGCCAGATGAACTTGATTCCTAAAAGCATCATCGACACAGTTCGCCAACAACAAGTTGAATCGAGGTCTTTGGCTCAGACACCCAACAGTCCTTCAAACATTCCGCACTATGAGACAGACCTGCCATTTAAAATTTGTTTGCTGGTCGACTCTGGCGCAATGATAAGTGTATATTTGGAGGAACATGGCGTGAAAGAGGTGAGCCCTGTTTGTGCTGTCAGCTTCCCGCGCTTTCTAGCTATTCATGCACTTCAACTCGCATTTTTTGCCGATCTATCGAACATTTTTGATCCATTCGCCTTATTAATACTTGTTTTATTGCAGGTCAAACCGCTTGCCGTAATCTGGAATCGGTTCCAACAATATGGACCTCAGAACACCATCATGTTCGATGACGTTCGCAGAAATTTTGCGATGAACCCCCAGTCCGGATTAAGGGTATGTATCCATCCCTGATAGTCTTTTGAAAACATACCACAAGTGACACTGTTATTTAAATTAGTATTTAAGGTACTTGTTAACTTCCATTCCCCCATTTCCCGAACTAGATCCCGTGTCAGAACACGAACCTTCACCCCTTTGTCGTATGATCGAGCAACCACCTAGCTTATGCTTGCATGGTAAACTAAATTTACCAAAAAGTAGCATGCCAGGCGTTTCTAAGTCATTCTAAAAGTACGACCTTGCAAGTGAAGGCTGTTTAGACCGCACACGTTTCCACTGGTATAGTGTGGTGCTGTGTCTGAAATGC